CAATCGTACAGCTTCGCATTTAGCCTCGCCGACTCTCTCTCTCTCTCTCTCTCTCTCACACACACACACACACACACACACACACACAGAATGCAGAGGTTCTGGGTCCCGATCCGGGCTTACCATCCACACAACCCACCTAGGATGCGCTGAAGAGAAGGAAAACTATCAGGAAAAAGAATAACACCCCTACCAACCTCACTGGTCACCCCGATTAACGACGATAGTCCGGTGTATGTATTCCTATTTGGGTATTCCCCTTGCGCCGCGCATAGGGATGTAGAATCAGCGTGCAGCTGGGCCGAGAGAGCTGTGGCCGATGGCAGATGCAGATCTCGTTTGATGGGCGAGAAGATCTCACAATGTCGCTTCGATTTTTTTTTATTTTTTTTTTTTAATCTGTCGCTTCGAGTTGGCAATGGCGGCGATGATGCTCTTTTTTTTTTTTCTTTTTTTTTTTTTTAAGTCGCAGCTTACATATTATAAAAGTAATTGCCTGATCAACGAGAGGAGGGGTTCCCCGTATGCCTACAACTAGGAGTAGTGGTAGGTAGGTAGTGTGAGGTGAAATTGAGAGAAGAATATAGCTTTAAGATTAAAAAAAAAAGAAAAAAAAGACAAAAGTGAAACTACTACTACTACTATTCCAGTACGGACAGAAAGAGGTCATACTCACCAAACGTTTTGGATGAATCTGGCTCTAGATGCGGTCAGATACACAATGTAGATAGAAGAAAATCCTCCCGATAGTATGAGTATATGCTGCTTCTGCTGCTACTGATGATGACGTAAGGGATAAGGAAAGGGATACCGCTACAACATGATTAACCGATCCCTCTCGTTCAGGATGGCGCGCGGGCGCGCGGACGGGCGCGCGGGCGGGGGGATGTAAAGAGCCTGAAAGTGAAACCAGAAGAAGCGCACTTAAGCGCACTTACCCCCAGGACAGTAGCAATCTTCCCATAAGGATATACTCACACTAGGACTTTCTCTGCTCAGCTCTGGACGCGATCGCGGCCAGATGCGTCCAGTTCCTGCGATTAATTACGCCCAGATGCATTGCATTTAGAAAAGCGCTCGTGTGAGTATGGCCCTAAGTCAGCGGTAGATCTGACACATCAAGAAGCCGCTGATGAGAAAAATGTAGACGTTAATTAACCCGGGCCGAGGTCCCACTAGCAAAGAGGATCGGATCGAATGCCTGAATCTGGATGTGTTTTATGCAGAGATGCAGAAAAGCAGTTCAATCTCGATTTCCTGCACTTCTCCACAAACACGTCCAGATTCTGGCATCCGATCCAATCCTCTTTGCTAGTGGGACCACGCCCCCGCGCAGTACTTGACGATTAGCGCCCCCCCATCCGACAGCGATGGCTACCAGTGGTACTTAGACGATAAGCGCACGCACTCCAACCGACCGTCCACCTACTCCCTATGATGTGATGTCCATTTACCGAGTCAGTTCTGCGCCTATGGCGTGTGCTCCGATGGGGCATAGAGGAATTTCCTCAAGTAAACGGGCTCTACTGCGATTTCACCTGTTTTCACAGGTTACACTTGTTTTCACGTGTGAAGTGCACCGCGCGGCCGTTTCCGGAGGAGCCTCAGCTGATTCGTGGCCGAGCGGGTCTGGGGCCCTACAGGCCTCATGCTACTACTGACCAAACGTGCAAAATGAGAATGAATATTCCGCTGGATAGTCACACTCAACACTGACCAAATGCGGGCCGCCTCGGGAGGTCGCGAGGTGGAGGGTTGTGCCTCAAATGACACTTTTCCAGGTAATCCGGTAGGCCTTGAGGAGTAATGGGCTAGGCCTCCATCGGTGGATCTGCGGCTTGGATCATTCCGACGCGGGCCGCCTCGGGAGGTCGCGAGGTCGAGGGTTGTGCCTCTGTTATTGAGGCGTCTGGAAGTTGATGAAGAAGAAGGCGCCTTAAGGTCCGGGCCTTTCTTGGCTGGTCCTAGTTCAAAACAGTCTTCAAACATTCTGGTCGTAGCGACGTAGCTATAGCAATAGACGCCCAAAGGGTTGTCGTCATCCGATTCGGAATCTAACCCAACATCATAATTTTCCTTGCCGTATTTGATAGTGTATTGGATGAATTCCGACAGGGTGTGTTCAATCGGAGTGCACTTCTTACGGATCTTTTTCCGTAGCCGAGCTTCAGTCAGTCCTCGGACGAAGTTCGTCCGCACATCTTTTCGTCGACCCCAGAACGTTCGACCAGGTAAGTAAACTGTTCCGCGTATCTAGCAAGGGTCTCACAGGGCTGCTGCGTATATTCTTTAAACCACAGGTCCCCCCGCCACCGAAAACCCCCGGTACCGGTGAGTTAGGGGAGGGTTTTTCGGAGGTCGTCCGCCCCTAACTCACCGATCTCACGAAGTCCCTGGCAAGTGCACCAAGGCCCCACGGTGTAGAGGGCGGACGACGGCGGGTTGCATCGAGCGGTTGCGAAACGGTCGGGTGGTCCAGTTTTCGGGCTGTCGACAATCTGTACCGGACTTTCGCGCTGTGGCGGGAAATGAAGGGCCGCACTTATTCAAAAATAAAAAAACGAAAACAGATCCAAAATTTCCGCCGTCGCGCACCTTTTTTTGTTTTTGTTTTTTGTTTTTGTTTTGTCATTGTTAGCATTGTCCCGGTAATACCGATATGTACATATGAGACAACGATGTGGAAACGCGTCTCCTGTGTGTAGTCGTCTAGGGTTTCGAAGTTGTTGGCGGTATCCACCCGTTCGGGGTTGTGATAGTCATGTCCGCCATCGCCACGAGCCCCCTAAAACATCACATACAGTTCTTGCTCCTGTCTCTTATACACATCTAGATGTGTATAAGAGACAGATTATGCGCTCTCTCTCTCTCTCTCTCTCTCTCTCTCTCTCTCTCTCTCTCTCCGCTTGACCTCGTG